TATCATTAAATTAAAGTACTATAAAATAATAAAATTTTAATTTAAAGTAATTGAAAGATACGAAAAGAAAATTTGATTGATAAGAAATAACGATTTAATTTTAACTAAACATTAAATTTTTAATATTATATAACAACAATTAAAGTGAAATGATTAAGATAAATATTTAATAGTAATTTTTTTGCAATAAACTATGAAATTAGTACGCAGGTTAATTGAAAGTAGAGGCATATACATAAATAGTATAGATTAATTATATATTTTTTTCTATAAAATATTCAAATATAGAAAATTACATAACCTTAATTAAATTCAAACTAAAATAGTCACACTCATGCTGTATTTAATTTAAAACTAATGAAAAGTTGTGACATTTTTTAAAAATATATAACAATTTTAAGATATGAAGTGAAATTTCTCTTAAAAATATCTCTTCTCTACTATTCATTTTTCAGTGGTATAAATAAAAGTCATACTTTATTGGAAACAATTATCCATGGAAATAAAAAAGTAAAATCTAGATAATTAAATAACATGAGAATCTTGTTCTTTCCTATGCTTTTCTTTTTCTTTTTCATCTTTTTTAATATAAAGTAGGTGGAGATAATGAGAGATGTCATATCATGATGAAGACTAGGGAAAGATTCAAACACCACTCTTCAAGTTTATAAAAAAAAAAGGAAAAAAAAATTAAAACTTTCTATCAAATTAATTATCTTATCAAATTTCTGACTAATATTGTAAATTGGAATATCACCTCACATATTAATATTATATTGAACTTTCTTAAATTTATATAAGTGTTACCACCAATTATATACCTATTTAAAAATGCTTTTGAAGTAAAATGAAAATGAAAACTACAATATTTATTGTGAAATTTTTTATTTTAAAATTCAACGAAGATCAATATTTCATAAGTTATTCTTGAATTTATAGTGTGTCTATTTGTGTTTATATTATGGACCTCCATGGCCATGACAAGAAGCACTAATTGTGTGAGTTGAGCTTCTACCTAACTTGCAAAGATTTGAGGATCTAACTTCAATTTTGAAAAATAACAGGTATCTTATCATTTATTAAATTATGCTTCGATTGATGATTACAAATATTAATTAAGATTAAGAATTAAAGGTGCTAGCTTACTTTGTAAGATAGATGTCAAAACGTAGGACATCCATGTCCCCTCCAATAATTCCATTATTCCTCACGTGGTTGTAAAATTTCCCACAAAATTTTGACAGTTTTGGGTTACTTTGGGGAATAATTTCCCATTTATTAATTATAATATATATATATATATATATATATATATACTTTCTAAAAAGAATAAAGTGATGATGAATTAAATGGTGAATTTATTACTAAAAAATTTCTACTAATGGTTAAATTATGCGAAACAATCTTCATTTAGGCACAATAAAGTTGTTGATGCCGAAATTTGGCTTATTTTGATTGTGTCAAATTCGCACCAATCTTCTAAAATAAAATGGATCGATGACACCTGCAAAACAGAATAGCACTAAGACGGGTGTGGCTCTAGCCACACGGGTTCCGATACTTAGGTTAGAATCAGAGTAATTGAGTATAAAGTGTAGGGTGTGTGAGCATACCTTTAAAGTTTAGTTTACTCCCCTATTTATAGAGGTGAATCCTATTTTTTTAGGATTTACATAGGTTGAATCATAATGCACTCAGTAGATCTAGATGGATTGGGCTTCATGCTTGCTTCGGGTCCATTTGTTTCATTGTGGGCTTAAGGTCGAATCGAGAGTCGAGGTGGGATGGTTCGGGATGAACCGTTAGGGTTCTCGGCCGAGGGACTGAGAACTGCTCGGCGTCAAGGAGGTCTCGACGCTGAGGCCTGGCCGGCTCAGGTCGCCAAGTGCCACCTCCTTTCATGATTCGTGCCCACTTCTTGACTTTCTTCTGGTCTCCTGTTGCCTAACTAGATCTCGCTTATTTCTCTGTAACAAAAGTCATCAATATATATATATATATATATATATATATATATATATATATAGACACACATACACTTACATATACATATATATAGTTTGTAGCTCTACCTATATATATATTCACGAGCCTACAAGAAAAAGTAACATCTCTAATAAAAAAAGACTAGAAATTGTGCGACCTGAAGTAGAAACATATCTTTAACGTATATACCATTTTTTACCTACAAAATATATAACGAATCAAAATAATTTATTTTCATATATTTAACATGTCTTTAGTGTGGTATAGTCAACCTGAGTATAACTCAACTGGTCTGTATATACTACTCCTATATGTTGAACTCTAAAAACAATGTATAGATTTTTAATGTGATTAATTACACCCGATACCTTTAAGTGTAACAATTACATCCTCAATCTAATCTGATGAAATCGTTACAATCAAACCCATCACTAATCCACAATTATATAAATTTTGAGGAAGTAATTTTTTTCTTAATTTTGAGAATAACGCTTCATTAGAAAGAAAAAAAATTAAAAGACCCACCACTTGAGCTACAGATGAATCAACCGCCAATCCACAGTATGGGAGAAAAAAAAATAAGAGAATTTTGAGGAGGTAACTACTTAATTGATGAAAGTCCAAATATTGTAATTTGTAACCTACCTATAAAAATTTACTTCTTGTTTATTATTTTTAAATTCCCAATTATAACATCTTACTCCCAAATATAGAAATTTCAACCCATTCAAATATAGAAATCATAAGTAAATAAGTCGTATTTTTTAAAGAATAGAAAACTAAAAAAAAAATCAATTCTTCCGTATTTGATTAGGATTTGACAAATGATTTTAAAAGTATAGTTAATAAACAAATATGAGTTCTAAAAATCAAAGGCTAAAAAATAAATGGATCTAAAGAATGAAATTCAACATAGTTTCTATTTTTAAATTGAAATTAAAAAATAGTTTATAGTCGTTAAGAGTGATGTCACAAAACGGCATCACTTTGATTGGTAAAGCTTTTGCCAAATTGCCAACCGATAAATAGTTCCCTTTTTGACCTTCTAGAGAATCTTGGAGACGTGTCAAACCTAAACTCTTTATTTTTCCACTACTTTTTTCATTATTATAATATTATTATTATAAATATAATAAAGAAATTGTTTTTACTTTTATATTACGTTTGAAAGCTTTGGAATTTCCAAAGTCTTTAAATTATTATTATCGTTTCCATTCACACATGTGCATAGGAATTGAGATTTCTTATGGGATAAGTAAATAAAACTTTAATAATAATTAGATTTAAATTCGTCATTGTTAACGTAGCTCAACTGAATAAGACAGTTATATCCTATCAAAAGATTGTGAGTTAGAATTCCTACTCCCACATAATATTTTAACGTTTAAATATTAAGAAAATAATATAAAATAAATATGTATTTTAAAATTAGAAAAAAAAATATGACATTTTAAAAAAAAATTATACTATGGAAAATTGTGTATGAAAATTTGTTTATCTTTATCTTGAATTTTTATTAATCATTTAACAAAAATTTAATTCTATTTGGAAAAACCTAACCGTTAATTGACCATGTGTGATTTAAAAATTTGTTCATATTAATATTTATTGATTAGGTAAATAAAAAAAATTTATGCTCGTGTCAAGTTTCATCAATTTAGCTAGGCTTTTAAAATGATTTTTAATTTTGAAAGTACTACAAAATAAAATTAATGTTTATTTTATAATTATTTAAGCAGGTTTATTATATAATTATGATGTTTTTTTTTAAAATAAATAGTAAAAATCTTATCGAACAACCCCTAAGGACAGTATTGGATTTACCTAGAATTTTCAATAATCTCATAATAATATAATTAATTACATTAAAAAAATATTGACAAATAGATATGTAAATATTAATTAAATAACTAATTAGTTAATACCTATTGAGAACTTAAATAAATAATTCCACAATTATGTAAAACACATCAGTAATCTTGGTGAAAAAAGGGAACTTTTTTAGTACTTGGAGGTACTCCTTCAATTAATACCTCCAATTTAAAATAAATGAAAGGAATAATATATTTATTGATTACAAAGTAGAATATTAACGGAGGGGTAGAAGCATAAATTTTGGTCAATCAAAAATTGTTCCGATGACGAAATTATATTGTTATTAAATTTGGGACAAATTACAAATTAACATAGGTCTCTAAATTAAAATTGAAAGATAAAATATGACAAATTAAAATAATGACATACGTCTATCTTAAGGTCGTTTGATTGAACATAATTAACCGGGTCAAATTGGATCTTATAACAATTGAGTCCCGGATAAAATAAGTTTAAAACCCAATAAATAATTAATTGGCCCAAAATTTGAATTAGCCTAAGTCATTAATAATTGACTTAAAATCAAATTTAAATAAGTTTGAATCCACCTAAGAATTGAGTTTATGACCCAAACATGACCAAAATCCATGGGTTGGGCTTAAAGTCACCCAAGTCCAGACCCATCCTAAAGTATGAGAATTGGGCCTGAAACCCAAAAAGAGTCCAAGATTCAGTAAATTAAAGAGTCTCCAAATATCACAAGACTATTAAATTATAAGACAACTAAAACTAATGATTTGAACACTTTGAAGACAAGTTGAAGATATACTAAGCGTACAAGACTTCAAAATATCGATCAATTTGATCCAAAGAGGTTGACAAGGCTAGAAGACTGCTCAAAAAACATTAACAAATCAAGAAACCTGAAAGATCGCTACAAAGAGATTGACAAGTCCAAAAGATTGCTCCAAAAAGATGAAGTCCAAAAGATCAACACATTCAAAAAGTTCGAGAAAGGTCGACAAACTTGAAAGATCGATCCAAAGAGATCAATGAGCCAAAGACCGATTCAAAGAGATCATCAAGTCAAAAAGTCGATTCAAAGATATCAGTAAGTTAAGAGACCGATCCAAAGAGAATAACAAGTTAAAAGCTCGATCCAAAGAAGTCAACAAGCTAGAAGTCAAAGACTTTGAACATGCTAGAAGTCGAAGGCTCCAATCTCCTTAATTGAGAACAAGTGTTACGTTACAGTCAACTTTACTACTTACCGCACAAAGTTGATACAAAATCCAAGTTCATCCTCCTCTACCATCACAGACATTAGAAATTGTAGCCAAATATTTATTGTTCATTGATGACTTCTCTAATCTTCTGTCTTATTTTAAACTTTATTCTTCTCAACTTTAACTTCATTTGAAGCATCTTCGCCAAGATAATTATTTCAATGCCTCTCTCAACTTTTGCTCCACTAAAAACCTCGAGCAAAATGTCCACCCGTAGATAAGATTTGAATCTGTGACTTCAAGGTTTAACCAAAGAATGGCATGCAGTACGCACCTGCCGTCGCAGGCGTGTGCCAATCCATCCGTCGAAATTTGTCCACCTGCATTCGTTCCCTCGCATGCATGCGCCATCGGTCAGTTCTCTTCATTCTCTCTGGCTCTCTTTGCAAAGCCAATGATACTTTCTTCAATTTCCATTTTTGCCTCCTCCAGAAGACTAAAGAGTTATATTAAAAATTTGAGTTAAAAACTCAACAGAAAGAATGGAATGCATGGAAGACATATTAAAGCATTTAAAAGTGAATAGTAGTATATTCAAATGCAGAAGTGCAAAATCAGTATAGTAAAAATATCAACTTCATCTCATCATCAACTAGGAATAGTCTTTCTGGTATGAGTTGAGAAAACTCATAGTCATAACATAAAAAAATAAAGTCCCGTTTGATAATTATTTAGCTTTTGACTTTCTGTTTTTAGAAACTAAGCTTAGAACATTACTTTCTTGGTACACGTTCGTGTTCATTTTTTTGTTATATAGCTTTTATAAACATTTTTAAAATCTAGGTCAACTTTTTAAAACAAGTGTAATTTTTAAAACTAGAAAACTTAAAACGAAATGGTTATGAAACGACCCTTAAAAGTTTTAATTTACTCTTTAGAAATAATGAAACCATTTCCCTACGAGAAGATATCTTTGGTAATTTTAGTAAACAATAAGAGAAAACTTGGCAGAAGAAGTAACAATTGTCCTAATCCAACATATTAAAGAAGGTGAAGTTACAAAGAAAAAAAACCATTCAATCAATAAAACACCCACCAAGGCATATACTATAGCCTTTTTTTTTACTCTTCATTTTCTGACCCATTTTCCTCTATAAATTTTCAAATCATCCCAACTGACTCATCCTTATTTTCCATCAACAGAATTTCTTTTGAAATCTCATTTCTCAAGTTTTTCATCCAGCAGCTTATGCCACTTCCCCCCTTCAAAATTTCAATCTCTTCCAGTAACCATTCTGTCATTTCTTTTCTTTTATTTTTTTTCCCCTCCATTTCAACCCCTTATTACCTCTCAGGCTCCGTTTACTTACTCGCAATCGTAATCAATGAATCCTAATGAAAACTTTGATTCCCTTTTACGGTAGTTACTAAATTGTAGGAATGTAATCAAATGGTAGGACTCACCTCAAATTTTGTAATCCCATTACATGAAAAGGTGTAATATCATTACATTCCTACAACTCTATCAATCTCATTCTCATACCTTATTCCGTGGACCCTACATATATATTATAATTAATGTACCACTTTTACCTTTTATCTCTCATCTAGATCCATATAATTTTTAATTAGTTTTTTTATACTTTTATAATTTCTTCTCCATTCATACTCCAATGTTTATTAGTTGATATGATTTTATTATATAATATGATAAATTAATATTAATTAATATAATAAAATTTTTAAATAGATATTATTACTTTTAAATATTATAATAATAAAGCTTAATAATATGTTATATTAAAGTTTGGTCGTTCTAATAATAAATATTTTATTAATATGTAATTTTATTTTAATTATTCATTATGTATTAATATTAGATAAATTGTTAAAATAAAAAATATTTACTATCAATAATATATTAATAAATTAAATTAAAATTTATTATTATTGTAATTTAAAAAAGAATAGCACAATAATATATTTGTAATTAGCTAAAAAGGAGAAAATGGTATATTAGTAACTGTTATATATTTGATTCCGATTCCGATTCCAGACAGTTTTAGTAAACAACAGGAATTCTGATTACGATTCCAGAAAATTTCTAGTAAACATCATCAATGGAATAACATTACGATTCCTATTGATTTCATTACGATTGATTTTCATTACAATTGATTTCCATTACAACTGCGGATAGGTAAACGTGGCCTCAATTCACTTCTCCAGTAACAGACCATCAAAAAGACCATCAAAGACAATGAATTTATAAGTATTTATACTCATTTTCCCTTCATGTTTTGTGTCTATTTTAAGACATGTAGACATCTCAAAACATACAAAGGGGTTTCAAGTGTCTGACCTTCTCAATGAATCTGATTTGGATTCCTCACATGTGAAGGATGATCAGGTTGGTCTTCCTCCAAATTCTGCATTAATAAATTCACACCCAGACATATACATATACCACTGCAGGCTGCAGCAAAAGTATGTAATTTTGGTCATTATCATATTTGAGGACTTTATTTAACTATTGAAAATGGTACTGACCTGTTCGGCAAACAAATATTGAATGATCAGCTTGTCAGAGAATGACACGTTGATATATCTTCCACAACAATCCTGATCCATGAATCTTTTGGGAGGAAATATAACTATTGTCATGATATGATCAAATGTTTTTTGAGATTTTAAATGAGCCATGCTTACAATTTCAAGAGAAAAAATTACCCTTCATTTCATCGAGGAACAAGTTTCGAATAGGAACCGAAAGTAGTGCTTTTTTTTACGTTGTTTACTTTAGTACCTGGGGGGTTTCGGAAAAGACCTATATGGGGCACCTTTTGGGTGTGGGACCTCGGGGCAGTGTCTCAATCTCCTACGTGCAAAATCAAATGAACTAGTTACTATGGAGATTCCCAAAACCAAAATTTCAAGTTGCACTAGTGTTCTTGCCACAGAAGGATTGAGTAGTTAGGTCTAAGACATTTCTCCACCTCAATATTTGAATAAAATTAATTTAAATAAACTGACCTCCATTGTGTATGGATTTTTAAATTGATTAATGATCCATCTGACTTTTGATCTGCATGTTAAGGATAATGTAATTGGTTGTCCTCCATATTCCGAAATAAATCACATCAACTTATAAAAATACAAAAAACTGCAATCTTGATTTTCAAGTCATTAGTAATATTGGTTGAATCATATAAACAAATCTTAAATTCAATTCTACCAAGATTAAACTGACAAACAATTTATTAATAATATTTCTAAGCAGTTAAAAATACTTTTTATTTTTCAACATGCTCTAATAGTAGAGTGTAGCCCAAGGAAAACAATTTATTTATGAAAAATGTACTATAAAGTTGATGTGTTGAGTATAATTACCTTGGAGGCTCTTCTGACTTCTCCTTAAAAAAAAAAAAAAAAGTCCTTCAATTTATTTTCGGATTCTCGAGTTGCTTAAGCTTTAGACGCTGACGAATACACCGAGGCTTCTACATCTCGAAAATCAGAAGTTCGATCGAGAGGATCTTTACTCCACACATGCTTTAGCTTTGACATATATAAGAATTCCAAGCAACTCAATGGAGGGAGTAGCACACATCATACTTTCCTCTAATGTTTGCCTGTTGATCTGCAATTATCCCTGGCAACAAATTAGAGATCTGTTATCTTTTAAGATTTTAACACATTTGAATGGAAAAGATTTCAAAATAATCATAGTAAGTAATTTCTACCTTTTTGAGTTTGGCAAATGAATGTGAGGTGAGTATCATCTTCCAAAATAGTATGCTTTTTTAATCATCAATTTTTCAAAATTAAGGACTGATATCTGCAGATTGTAATTAACAACAATCATTAAACATCCATTATTGTCAGAATGGACAACAAAATTTAACCCTGAAGACGCAAAATATACTAAAATAAGATGTCAGAAAATCACACTTGGGACCTTGTTGAACCACCACCACTTACCAACGTTGTAGGGTCCAAGTGGATTTTCAAGACTAAACTAAAAGAAGATGGGAGTATTGAAAGATTCAAGGCAAGATTGGTAGCTCAAGGATATTCACAAGTGGAAGGAGTGGACTATGACGAAACCTTTAGTCCTGTGGTTAAGGCAACAACAATCAGAGTGATTCTTGCCTTGGCAGTTAGCTTCTGTTGGAACTTGAAAGGCAACTTGATGTCAAAAATGTCTTCCTTCATGGTTCTCTAAAGGAAGAGGTGTATATGGCTCAACCTCCTGGATTTCAACACCTAGACAAACCTCACCTTGTTTGCAAGCTTAATCACTCTTTATATGGCCTAAAACAAGCACCGAGAGCATGGTGTGAAAGGCTCTCACAATTCTTGCTTCATATTGGCTTCTCTTCACCCTATTATGTTCTCTCTCTTTTTATTTTTAGGGATAACACAATTCTCGTACTAATGCTTGTTCGTGTGGATGATATAATCATGACAGAAAACTTAAGTATACAGAAAGGCTCATTGACAAGCTAAGCTCAGAATTTGCATTAAAGGATCTTGGAAACTACACTATCTCCTCGGCATAGAAGTTCTTCATACCCCTACAGGAGTTATTCTATCACAAGAAAAATATGCAGAGGACATTCTCAGCAAGGCCAAGATGACTGAAGCATCTCGCCTTTGCATCCCATGGTTGTCACAACAACTGAATCAACAAATGATTATGAGAGAACTAATACTTCAGAATACAGTAGCATTGTGGGATCTACAATACTTAATACTTACTAGAACTGATATTACCTATGCTGTAAACATAGTGTGTCAACATCTCCAAGATCCTAAGATCAAAGACCTAAAGGCAGTAACGAATATTGAGATACCTCAAAGGCACCCTCAGGTAGGGATTAATTTTTCACAAATATCTCCTTAAACTCGTTGTTTTCTGTGCGTTGCAGATCAAGTTGGATGTCCGAGAAACAAGGAGCACCCACAGATCGTGTATCTTCTTGGAATCTAATTGCATATCTTGGAGCTCAAAGAAACAATCCACAGTAGGAAGGTGAAGCTCTGAACTTGAATATCGCTCAATGGCATATACGACTACAGATATCACTTGGATCGTGTTTCTCTTAAGTATTGGAATTAGTATGCCATGACCAAACCCCTCAACTTCTATGACAACATGAGCACAATCCACATGACTAAAAATCCCGTCTTTCATGCTAGAACGAAGCATACTATCATTTTGTGAGAGAAAAAGTAAGTTTTGGCCATCTCATCACAAAATTTGTTCCATCTCCTCAACAAGTTGCTTATATTTTTACCAAACCATTACCCAAAATCTGTTTCAAAGAACTAAGAGGCAAACTAGGAGTGTATGAGATACCCTCCAGTTTGAGGAAGAACGTTGTAACAGAACAAAAGGTGGTTAAAATCAGTTAAATGCCTACTGATTTATGGTGTGAAAATTACTACTGTAAACTACTTTCATCCAAGCTGGTATAGGTGAAATATGGTGGGAATATAAAGTCCTAAATTTCAGCCATGTGTGCTGAATTATGGAAACTATTGCACAAATCAACATTGGTCAAATTAGCCGTTTAACAGTACACTGCCAAGCTGTCCAGCAAGATATTTTCTGGTGCAATTTCTCTTATGCAATCTTCACGGCATAGTTTCCTCTATTATTCTTCTTTCCTTACTACAGGAGTTATTTTCTTATAGTTTTAGCTAAGAATAAGGTGGGAAATTAAAGTATATTGTATTAGCTGTTGGTTCTTTTTTCGTGCAACTGTGTTAATTTAGTGTATATAACTTCAGTTTTCTGATAAATTGAATGATTGAATATTCTGAGAAAAACATATCAGAAAACATTTCAGTTCCTAAGTCAGTTCAACCGCTAGCTGTTCATGTAGTTACAAACAATTACTGAAAGTTTCCATTAATTGCTTTAAAGTGTAATCAAAGTCAGTTCAACCATGAGCTTTAAAAAGAGGTTTCCAAGTGTCTAACCCTTCATTATGGATGAAATCATAAACTTAAGGAACGATCAACATGATGCTTATTCCTCAACACATGAAGATGAATGATCAGATTGGTTCTCCTCCAAATTCTGCATAAATAGATTCACAAAGAAAGTAACATCAACACACATTAGTGCAACATAAAAATTTTGCAGTTTTGATCAAAGTCATGATTGAAGACTTTAATACTCACTGAAATAGGTACTAACCTTTTCTGTAAACAAATATTGAATCCCAGTGTCATAATTGTCCTCCCAAGCTTGTTGGATAATGCCATAAATGTCCTCCCAAGCTTGTCGGATAATACCATTGATATCTTCAACAACTTTTGAATCTTCATAGCCATAATTTGAATCTTCATACCCATATCGTGAACCTTTAATTCCATGATGTATTCTAAGATCTCTAACTAGTAAGTTAGTCGTGCTTATGATTCCAAGAGAGAAAACTTCCATTTTAGGACAAGTCCAAATAGTTACATCATCCAAGTATGGAAATCTTATGATGCATTTTCCCGAATGAAAGCTTGTTAATTTGGACAAATCCTCGAGGAATAAATACTTTAATCTGCTAAATACAATTTCTTCATTTCCTTCTTCAACAACTTCTGCAATTACAGTGGTCATCCTTTTGCAATCTTTTAAGACCAACCGTTTAAGCTGCACCAATGTTCTGGCCACCGAAGGATTTAGCAAATGAGTCAGTCTATGACATTTATCCACCTCAAGCTTGGACAAGTTTCTAAAAGACACTGATGATGGCACTAACATATCCAATATGCCACATCCTGATATGATTAGAGAAGCCAAATTTTTAAGTGATGAGGTGCTTTTGTAGTCATCCTTCCAGAAATGCTTAAGCTTGGGCAATTCGAATAGACTCAAATCCGAAGGCTSAAATCTTATATTACGATATTCTTCCACATTGATCAATTTCTCATTTGGGAATATTTCTTTAACAAGCATCCTTCTTAATTCAAACCGTTCAAGATTGTGTACTATTCGTACAATTTCTATTGGCAAATGCGATGAGTTGTAGATGAGAGAACCAGATAGTTTCAGACTTTTAAGCTTGGAAAACAACTTCAGACCATCTTGCAATTGTGTAGTCTCAACCTGGACATTAAGAAAAATAAAAACTATCAAACTTGAAATCTATTTCTAAAGCTAATTTCTAGAAGTGTTTGGAGATAAAAGTTTAGTTCACTTGAGCCAGCATGAGCTTTAACTCAGTGGTAATTGACATCTGTCTTTGATCAAGAGTTCATGAGTTTACTAAAAAAAGTTTAGTTTACTTAGAATTACCTGGGAATCCAACATATGCACTGACTTTTCCTTCTCAAGAGTCTCTTTCAATTGGCTGAGATCTATTTGTAGGTCTTCATGTTGCTTAAGAACTTTGATTGGATATTGCTCTTTTAAGCTTTGGACATTGTTGAATGGACAATACTTTTATGTCTTCAAAAATCAGAAGCTCAGATGGACTCTTTCTCCATACATACTCTAGGTTTGGCAAATTAAATAGTTCCAAGCGCCTCAAATTTGAGAGCAAAGCAATACTTTTTTCTATCTCATTGGGCTCTTGTACTTCAAATATACATTTCAATAAATTACATTTTTTAATGGTTAAGAATTTAAGGCAGGAAAGTATGGTTATTATATTTGAAGGAAAAACTTTTTCTAAATTGTTACATGACTCAATTTGTACAGTTTCGAGTTTGGAAAAAGAATTAGGAATGGGTACATTGTGCCATATCATCTCCAAATTCTCTGCACCTCTCATTTTTAATTCCTCCAAATTAGGAAGCAATACCTACAATTTACGTAATTTGATAATTTAGCTGGGATAACCAAGCATGCTAAGAAGACATAAATTATACATTCATTTAAAATCACCTAAACAAATTGTAATGGTCAAGTATTGAAGAATAGCTTCCCAATGGAAAATCAAATAAATCTCTTATCTTTATTAGTTTCACCACAACACAGCAACATTTGTCCATCACTATTTTGAAGATAAAAATAAACATAAATAATAGAAAAGGGTAACGTTTATTATTAAAATTTTTAAAATTAAATAGATCAAGGATAAGCTCAGAGGGGTAAGAGAAAAAATTTAAGGTTAAATTATAAATTTGGTCCCTATGGTTTGGGGTTATAATTTCAATTTGGTCCTTATAATTTTATCTCAATTCCGTGAATATAATTTCAATTTGGTTCTTAATACTGGGAATGTTTTAATTAGATATTTACAGTTTAGACTTAATTCCAACTTCGTTCCTACTGTTCGGTAAGATCTCATATATCATCCATAAATTGTGTTTTACCCACTTGAAAAACACATCATTTCTTTATATTTTTTACTCAATCCTAAACTCGAATACAACCAACTAATACTTTTCTTTTAATGCAACCAAATAACGCAGTTAGGACAAATATAGAATAAACATCAATTTATTGTCACGTTAAAACAAGTGTCGATATGGTACGATTTATGAAATTTGACTAAACTGTAAGAACTAAATTGAAATTAACCCGAACTATACAAGGACTAAACTTAAACTTTTATAACCATATGGGAAAAATTGAAATTATGTCAAAACTATACGTACCAAAATTCAATTTAACCAAAAAGTTTAACATAAATTTTGACAACGAAATAAAAATAATAATAAAAAATACATAGTCATGCTAAGAGAAGAAACAACAGTAAGAACAAAAGGTTATTTCTATATGGAAACATAAAATGTGTTATTGTGAACAAAAAGTTACCTCTTCACTGAAGAATGAACAAAAAATACATAGTCATGCTAAGAGTTTCCACTTTTTCTGAACTATCAAGACTTGATTGGCCAATTTGTTGGATTTTGGAGCAAAAACTTCGAACCCGTGGTACGCCTTCTAGAGACAAATACTTTAAGTGTGTAAACTCAACTGTGGCAGTTCTCTCATTGCTTTCCATCGCAGTGATCACTTCCAACATCTCACACCCCACAATAAAAATTTCTTCAACATTCAAAATGTCATCCAAGATGCAGTTGTAAAAGAGAGTTCCCAATTTATCACAGTGCATCACAGACACCCTCGTCAACTTATTCAAAGGAAGCTCTCTTACATGCCCATGAATTATACTCTCCAAATTCTTTAAATTGAACAGTCCCAAGTAGTCTAAATTGGATAAGATTTTTCGTAAAGGCTTGTTATGTTGGTGGATAAAATGTTGAAATTCTGAATCATTATAAAGGTGGAGACTCTTCAAATGTGAAGGGTCATTTTCATCTAATTCACACTGGAGAACTCTTGCAACACTTGGTCCTACTAAACGCAGTTCTCCACACCTCTTTAACAGCGTTTTTATCCAATCATCCAAACAACTTCCTGATACCATCTCGAGACACAGAATTCTAAAGAAGCGATTCCTCAGAAATACTCTTAAGTTGCTGCCGATACTAATCTTGAACTTCTCTAAATTCAACTCTCTTGAAAACAATTGCTTTGGCATAATTTTTTCATGTTGAATGCTTAAATTTAAAGTAGAAAGCTGTGGCAAGTATCTGAGCTCAGAGAGACTAGCATTCTTCCTTTCTTTGTTCAATTCTTCTCCTTCCCATCCACTAAAAAGTTTCCAAATATAATTCTTCTAGCTTTGTCAACTTCGAAAGAATATCGGGTGGAATTACTTTTAGTTGATAGCAAGATGATAAATCAAACACTTTCAGCTGCGTCAATTGACTAATCGCTATAGGAATCTGGATGATGTTAGACCCTGTAAAACTGAGGATTTCAAGCTTTTTTAACTCACCAATCATATCTATGTTCCCCAATTCACAATCAACCAAATGCAATAATCTAACATTTGCAAAGGAGCAAAGCAATCGTCGCGATAGAGAAACTTTCATGCTTTTCAATTCTAAACCTTTGAGCTCTTTTGTTTCTTCGAAAAAATTTTCTACCAACTCGTTTCCCTCGGACAATGGTCCATGTAACATTAATAATTGAACTTTGGGTAACATTAACTTCTGGAGAGAACTATGCAAACCTTTAACATCTAAATACACTGCAGTATGATTACCTGATATTTTCTCTTCTTCTCATTCATTCAATCTTTTTACATAGCTCAACGTACGAATTTGATCATCATTAGAAGCAATTAATATGGCTAAATCACGAACTATATCATGCATTTTCACATGAGGGTCGTTCCTAAACTCATATTGCAAAAGTAAAGAAGAAGATATAAGATCATCAACAAATTTGGTTATTCAACGTCGTCCTTGTGCCACAGTATCAAAACCATGCAGGAAACCCATGCCCATAGCATATACATGCAAGTCTTCCACCCGATGAGAAAATCTTCTGGAAACATGCTACAAAACAAGAATAATAACTTGACCTCTGCATACTCTAAGTACTCATAGCTTAATTTCAGCGAGGAATACACTTTCTTGTTCATTCCTTTAATATTCACAGTCACAGGATTTTTTAGTTGATCTAAGGCATCTTTCCAAATTGGAGAAGGTTTATTTCGTAATGCCTTAGCAACCGTAGTAATAGCAATAGGCAAATGTGCACATTCCTTCACTATCTGAACAGCTATAGGTTTCAAATAATATGCTTCAACAACTTCACCTACAATTGTCTTCAATAAATTCCACGACTCATATTCTTCTAAAACTTTTATCTCAAAAGTTGTATTGATGCACATCTCATTAGAGAGTATATGGTTATCTCTAGAAGTAAATATGATCTTGCATCCTTTGTGACCTACAATACTTGGAATTCCTATTTTTTCCAAATCAATATACTCCCAAATATCATCAAGTACAACCAAGATTCTTTTTTCCATCTTCAACCTTTTGTGTAGCTTAAGTGCACTTCTTTGCACTGTTTCATCTTTTAATTTCAAACTTAGCGGGGCACTTAGTTGCTCTTGAATTCTTTTTAAATCCGGTGTCTGGCTCACAGTTGATGTTATCACTTCATCAAATGCCTTTTTGGCCTTAAGTTCTCTTGAAATTTTGTTTACCAGCATCGTTTTGCCAATACCTCCCATCCCATACACTCCAATCATGTTGTTATTATCATCCTCCAATGCATCCATGATTTGTTTCATAATCAAATTTCTCGATTCAAAGTTCATAAAATCGAGCATCGACTCACTCTCGGTTGTTGAGAAAGTTTCAAAAGAGACTATAGAGAAATTCCCCACAGTAGTTTCAATAGCCACTTCATCCGCCTTTCTCTCTGCTTCTCTACTCAACCAGCGTCGTTGGACCAAATTCTGGCACAATCCAACATGTTGACCTTCCCTGTCTAGTATCACCTTGGATTCTTCAATGATGCAATCAACCTTAGTACACCAATACAAGACATTACTTAGTATGTCTTCTGCTTTTCCTTTTGCTTCATCAACCCTCTGCTGTACAGTTTCTCTAGTTGCCTCCAGCACTTCAACTTGGTTTCTAAGTTTCTCCATGTTGTCACTCATGAAACATAGATACCCAAGCTCACGTTTAATGGGCTCACCAATGTAACCACCAATTGCTTTAATGATGCTACACATTCTCCCTAATATATCCTTGATCTATTGGGAAGAGTAAACTGTAATAGTTTTTTTTTTTCCTTATTCTTCAAGCCAACAATAATAAAGCAAACAATATTAACCAATCTGCAAAAGAGAATATATATATATAAATAATAGTAGTTGTACATCAATTTGACTTAAAATAAGAGTAAATCTGTTAATTACAAGCTAACTTTTTTTTTTTCAAATATACAATTTTTGGAAAAGTGCATCAAAATTGTCCTATTGGTGGCACCATAAACTTAGTTCAGTGGTAATTGACACACATTTCCGACCGAGAGGTCGTGAGTTCAAATTCCTCACCCCACTTGTTGTACTGAACAAAAATTGTCCTATTGGTAAAATCTTGAGTTATACTTGGGAAATATTGTTTGTCATTGCCACACCTATTACAAATGTCATATAAATATTGTTTTATAGTAAGACTGTAAGAGAGAATTACACCTGAATTGAAATTGTGGCCTGACACTGAAACTGCAAATTGCCCAAAAGCTAGAGGAAGAAAGAAGAAGCAAACTGCAACAGAAAATAAGAGAGAGCAAAATAATTAATGGAGCTTAAATTAAAGAAAAAGAGGAAAATGGAATAGATATATAGAAGAAGATTTAGAGATGGGAAAGTGTTGGGAGATAAAATGGTGAACCTGATTTGGAAGAGATCACAGGAAGCGAGAAGAATGAAGAGCAAACGAAGGCGAAGGCAAGGCAGAAGCAAGAAGAGTAAATCTAATTTGTGCTAAAATTTAAATAATGCTTAAGGGGTGCGTACACGAAACCCAAAGTCAATGCCAAATCAAAAGAAAAAAAAATACAAATTTTGGGAAAAGAAATATGAATTGAGAGAAAAATACTAAAATAGGACAAACGAAAAGAGAAAAAAAATACAAATTGTAGAAAGAAAAAAGAAAAGAAAGACGAGGAAAAATTTGTAGAGAGAGAGATCTAAGGAAGTTTTAAAAAAATAAAAAGAAAATTAAGTTGAGTGGAAAAATTTTTAGATAGAGAGGGAAAAGAAAAGGACAGTTTGAGGGAGAAAAAATATATTGAAATAAAATAAAAAAGGTAAGTTGAGAAAAAAGATATACTAAAAAAATACAAACCGAGAGAGAAGTGATAAAGAAATAATCATTGTGCTATCTATAATGACTTTAACTAACTTCATAAATGTAGAACATAACCTTTTTATTTTGAGTTGAAATAAACTATGGATCTTTAAGAAAAAAAAAAGTAAGTTTGAAGGATGATTTCTTTCTTATAATATGTTGAAGCCTAGATTTTGATAGACTGGTTCACCCCCAAAATGCACACCAAACTCAAGGGACTGGATACCTGCAAAACCGACGTGTGTAACACTGATTTTGATATCTAAGTTAGCTAAGTAAAGCACTTGAAAGGTAATTTGACTTATCTTCAATAGGTGACTCAACCCCTTACCTATTTATAGTCATTCTTCCCTCTTAGGATTTCAACGAAATGTTAACCCTAGGTCTGATACACGTCGGCCTATGGGCCAAGACACCTCCTACAGCAATAGAGGAGCAAGTACGGAGCTCAATACCGAGGAGGGGTCGGAACCGAGTCCTGCTTGGTCCGGCCCGTCCTTCGCGGGTTGCTTTGCCTGGCTCAATTTCTCCTTCGTTTTCTACCTCATAACATAATAAGTGATGCATCGCATAAAAGTTTGATACAAAACAAAATATTCTATTTTGCTTCCAAATTGTTCTTGCTCTTTTAACTTATCAAATTGGTAATTCAACCTTTACCCACAAATTATGTTGCCCCTCAGCATCCTTTGCTATGGCGTTTTTTAATTGGCCTTTCACTTTAAAAAAGTCAATTTCTTTTAGTCTTTCAAATTATTTAAACCAAATTTTTATATTTGCATAGATATTTTAATTTTTGAGTTGTTCAGGTATGTTGTTTGAAAAAAAAATGGTCAAGTTCATAATCCATTGAGGTCGGCAAACGCTGGGCAATCTACCTTACTCGTCTGAAGAACTTACAAAACAAAGTCAGCACTCCGACGAACAAGTCAATCACAGTCCTATCCTTGTATAAGGGGCAAACATCCCGATTTATAGGAATGATCTCCGACAGGACTCCCGACAGCGGCTCAACAATCGTTCGACCACCCGTAAAACATGGCTTGTTGTCAAATTAATGTGTTGTTTAACACTCCTATAGACATCTTTGCATAGGTCAGCTCTATCCTTCAACGTCGTCCCACAAAACGTATTCAACAACTTAGCTTGGCAACATACCTCCGGAGATGAAACTTACACAAATTATCATGATCAAAGTATTTTTAAATAAGAATACCTTTTTACTGTTGACACGTGGGAGGCGATAAACAACTCCAACATTAAATTAAACCGCCCCAACATTGAATTTTAGCGATGCATGTTTTTTATCCTTCGTAGTTGATTAAAATAAATTGATTGGTTTAGGATAGGATTAAAAAATCTCATATAAGTATTATTAGATATCCATCCAAATATTTAGTTAGAACAATTAGAATAAAAAATAATTTGCAACAAATCATTGTTTTTTTAAATGACTCATGGTACGATGGGTATTGGAAAGGATTAAACTGTCTTGAAAAAGAAAACACCCATGAGAGACGAGAGATAGAGACGTTGTTGTTTTAGAATATAACATTACAATTACGAGAGTAAAAATTTCAATCTTCGAATTGTTAGTGTCTTAGTCATTGAGCTATATGTTCATATTGACACGAGCGCATGAGAGTTCGACTTTGTGTACTTTAATTATTTGACCTATTCCAACTTTATAAAACTTTAAATCATATATCATATTATAGTATTGTTATTTTATATTACGATAATGCTTACTGTTATACAAAGGAAAATCACAAACAAACCAACAAAGGGAACAGAAGAGAATCGACGAGGTGACCGACCAAACCAAGCTGACCCGTCAAGTCGCCCCGAGCCGTCAAGCCGAGCCGAGCTCGACCCATTGTCGAGTCTGTCATCCTCCCTCTTCTGTTGTCCATGATGCCTTGGGCCTTACAATGGTTATCCAGGGCTCACCTAGAAGGTTCTAGAACTCTCCAAATGACTATAAATAGTCTATGAAACCTAACCCTAAGGTAAGCCGAATTCGACCCTTGAATTCTAAGAGTCTACTGCTCCCCCTTGCTAACTTAGGCATCGGAGCCCGTGTGACAAGTATCACACCGGTCTAGCGTCTTGTTCGGTTTTGCAGGTCTTCGAGTCCCTGATAATCAAATTTGGTGCGAACCTCGGGAGGAACCGAAGGAGCATAATCCACGCATCAACACTTACATTAATGTGTCATTCACATGGTGTTAAATTAAAATAATAATAATAATAATAAAAGTTAAAGATGTTAACATTGTTTTATAGGAATAACACTTGCTAAAGCATATGACGGTATATTATAATAATATGGCTGTTATTATAGGGGCACTTGCAAAATTAGTAAAAGGAGAGAAAAAAAAAACTAATATTTATTTGCAAAATTGGCAACCACATCTCGCAAGACTTGGAGATCCAGCTCATCCAAAGTATAGAAAAAATTCCAATTTACCTTCGAGTCTCTCTCATTTTGACTAAGTTTATGATTTAGTGTGTGATATACTATCAATATATCTTAAAGTCATACCATTTAGTTATTAATAACTCAAAATCATATCATTTAGTTTTTAATTTACCATTGATATATCTTATTTAATTACTGATATATATATATATATATATGACTATTGATATACTATTGATATATTACTGAGCCCTTGATATATCATTGATATACCTTATTTTAATTATTGATATATATACCTGATTTGATATATCACTTATAGACCTGATTTTATATACCATTTGATATACCTGATTTGAATGTTAATATACTTAATATGAATGTCGATATACAATAATATACTTGAATGTGGACATGTTATGTTTTCAGGAAAAAAAATCATTTGGAATTATGGGTTGAAAGTTAAATTTTAGCTAACATCATCGGAACTTTTAACCCTAACTCAAATAGAATTTTTCGAGGATGACTCTTTGTACATTTTTTATCCTTTGGAATTAAGAGATATCAATCACAATTGCTATTACATTGAATTAGAATATTATTTAAGAAAAGCTCATATCTTTAACATTCAATAAAATATAGTAAGGGTTGGCCTAAAATAATTGTATCCTTTGATCACGATCTAATTTGGATGAATACCATTAAATTTGATGAAATTTACTACGAAAATAAAATAATTCCTCACAGTAAGTACCGTGATTCAAATCATAGAAAGAATATCATAACAGCTAGAAATTAGAAGTACCTAACGTGAAACTTTCAACATTACTAATTTGATGTACTTTAATGTACTTCAAATTAATTACGCATATCAAGTATATAATGATTTATACACTTCATATAAGGAGTATATCAGTTATACTAATGTATTTCATACTATATATATTAGTTATAATTGATATACTTCATATAAGGTAAATCAATTATAACTAAATATATTACCTAGTATGTAGCAACGAGGCATATAAAATACATCACTGAGTATATATCTTGATGTACATATAAAGTATGTCAAGTATATTACGAATATACGACGTATACCAGTGATAAAGGATATAATATTAATCATAAAGGTAATTGCATTAAAGTATATCATTTAACTCAAAGTACCTTTATTTCAAAAAAAAAAAAAAAAAAACTCGTAGTACATTGTAGGTAGTATATCAAAGTAAATCAATTACAATAATATAGCTAATAAGAACATTAATGATATATCTAATTTGATATATTATTTACAGGTAAGCAAAAGGAGCTTCACTGAAGAACATAATTGTATTTCATATCTTACGTGGTTTCAAATATTTGTTTAGTAACATATTTGGAAATTGAATCTCAATTTAAAAATGGTTGAACATGTATCACTTAGCAATAATATATTTGTAAAACTACGAGTTGTTAGTAACCTATCAATGTCATAAATTTTTATAATAATATTATCTAATTTATAATATATTACGTTTTTACTCGAAATAGTATATTTATCAAAATCATATATATATATAACATAATTCTGAGTTTTAAAGTTTCAAATTTAGAATCTTCGAATCATTCGAAATATAAAAATGTTGTTTTCAAAATTTCTACTATTTAAATCGTATAATAGAAAACAAATATACCAAACCGTTATTCATTTAATTTATTTGATACAGTGGACCTAAAACATGAAATTGAATATCAATTCTGTACTAAAAAGACTTAATTTTTATTGATGGCTCATTGTGTTGAGATATCTTGAGGGTTGAATTCTTTTGATATTTCTAAGGCTTAATTTTGAACCATTTTTATTTTCCTTTTCTTTTTTCTTTTTTTTTCCTTTTTAACTAAGTGAGTTCATTAAAAAAGAAATGAAAAATGTTAAAAAAGAAAACATTCATTCCCCTTCTATACTCTTTTTCCCATTGCTATATAATTATCATGGCCGATTTTTTTTAGAGCACATTTAACATTTCCTATGTAAACTTTATATAGTTGAATCAAATTGACTTTAAGAATTTGTTTGTAGTCGAATAAACATATAAAAATACTGTATGATAGTTAAATATGAAATTTTTATAATCCATTGCATCACAAAATAAAGTAGTCAATAGTTTAAAACAAAGTTACACAAATTCACCAAAAGTAATTTCCAACGAAATGAGTTCATAAATTGCAAATAATTCACCGAGTTTAAGAGAATAAAGCAATGTGGAGTATAAACGAGTTATCATCTTCAATCCATTTTCTTCAATATCATTTCATTCACCTAAAAAATATTCAAAGAAGATGAAAAATAATTATATAAATACAGAGAGTAAAATAGAGAGGACATATCTTGAATTTGTAGGCATAATAGATGAAATAAAAACAGTAAGTTTATAATCAAAACGAGCTTAGCTCAACGGTAATTGATATATATGCTTGATCTCCATTCCTGCATGTTGTAGTACAAAAAGAACGATAAGTTTATAAGAATATATAATATTGGCAACTCCCTTTACATCACATATAATAATATGAAGTATATGCCTAAATTAATTTGAGCGATTTGTATTGGCAGTTGATCAAAATAAACTGGTCAACATGTAATAGTCTTTATTATTATATTTTATCTTTATTGTAATAGTCTTTATTATTTTACCTTTTATCATCGGTTTACATTTTTTACTTAGGTAAATCATAGATATTCTCTAGTAAATGTGTCTCGCACTTTAATTTTTACAGTTGCCATATGTATATGGGGAGATCTAAAGGTTTGATGCTAAAATCAAGACTTAATACACTTGTGAATGAGTTAATAATGTGAATAGCTAATAAAGGCAGCAGAACCATCGACAAACATGAACATGAGCACAGTTCAGCGGTAGTTAGCATTTACTCATTCTCTTAAGGTTGGAGGTTGAAACTCGTCTCATACCTTCAATTTGTTGTACTCAAAATAAAAAAGGAGCAAGAGAATCGGTACACAACCATTTATGGTTCCAATCGAGAGAGAAAAATGTGAACATTCCTTAAACCCTAAAAAATAATCATATTTTGATCATGTCTCTATTATTTTCCACCTAATATTTACACATATACTCACTTAACCTATGTGGCTCATATACATTTACATGTTGGCAACAACATGTTAATACATATCAAGTCATGTTATCAATTTTTTTAAAAAGAAAATTAAATAAAGGATAATGACCAAAATAGTTATTTTAAACAAGTTTTAGGGATAATAGACATTTTGAATGTTTTAAGGACCAAAGTGGAACTAAACTAAAAGTTCGACAGATAAAAAATAAATATTTGAGCCAACATGAGCTTACACGATTAATTAGACATCTTTTACTCCTGTCCTAGTTAGGTCAAAGGTTCAAACTCTATCCCGATATTTGTTATACTAGAGTCGAATACTCCTTAAGCAACTCAAAGGAATAAAAATTAAACCAAAAGATGTAACATTAGATAAGAACCTAACAAGGTTCAATAATATTAGTGATTAGTTTGTGCAAAATTTTCCATTTATTATTGATTTCCACTTTATTGGGTCTGTGCAAATTTTCAAGCTCACAAGTGACGGGATTGTTAGATATCGTATAAATTATTAAATTTAGCCTAACTCAGGAACTTAAGCTTTTGAATTCGTCGGTGATTATATTTAACCGTATGTGAGATGGGGTATTGCAAGTTCACTCACGTGAGAAAGTGAAAGTGTTTGCCATCTCACAATTTCATATTGTCAATACTTCATCCTCTTTGTATTTTGTAACAATTTATAAACAAAACTATACAAAATCCTATGAAAGTTGAACAACAGTCACTACTTAACACCACTTTTAAATTAAGAACTTGTCTTACATCTTAGCAATTAGATACATATAATAAAATATTAATTACAGTGGATATTGGATTGGAATATTCACAATAGTTTTAACACAAAAAGCAAAACTAAAAATTAAAACAAATCATCCACTAAGCTCACATGTCTTGAGGGGGTGAAAAAGTTATTAAAAAAAATTACACTAGTTAAAACTAAATAGTTAAAAAATATTTTAGAAATTTATAATTAGATTGCACATGTATTAAAAGAATTTTAGCGTAATTATCTTTTTATTAGAAAAAAAAATATTATTGTTAGTAAGTATTGAGCAAAATGGAGATAATGATCTTTTGTTTTTTTGTAAGATACCGAACCATTTTATTCAAAAAGGTATGTGAGAAACATACAAAAATACAAGAGGGAAGCTAGATAAATGCGCTCCAAATGAGAGAAATAATAGAAATATCGTAATTACAAAAGAGGTTGGATTTAGAGGACCAAGATAAAGCTAAAACCTTTATTTCTTCCCAAAGGAGAGAAGATGGCTTAGAGGAATCAGCAAATGGTTGTTGTTTCTTTCCAACCAAATAGATCATAATAAAGAACCCACCGCATTATACCAAATGACGTTACGACTATTTTTTAAAGGAGGAGATAAGACCTCCTTGAAAAAACTATCGATGTATCCGTGCGAAGGGAGGGATACGTTAAATATACCCAACAAGCGAGTCCAGAGGACCACTGAAAAAGGGTAGTATAGAAATAGATGATCCAAGGTTTCTCCATAATTGCCACAAAGAACGCATCTGTTTGGATTCAGCAGGAGGGAAAGGAGTTTAGTTTCTAATTTATCGTATGTATTTATGCCCACCAAATGAAAAACTTACATTTTTTTTGGAAGGTTCAATGACAGAAAAATTCTTGATCGAGAGACTTTGCACAAAGACTATTCTTAAAAAGGAAATTAGCCAAAAGATCCCATTTACAAGCTCTAACAAAGGAAAGAAAAGCACAAAATTAGAAGGGTAATTACAGTAAGGCTTAATATCAATGATCCATTGAAATTTTTTTTCGTACATCAAATGTTGGATTGGAATTGAACTCCGACCTCAAGAAAAGGAACAAGGTGTCTCAACAGTTGAATTATGTTCAAATTGACTATCTAAGAAGTATAGAGAAGCCGGTAAGAAACCAATTGTAGTTTCCTTGATGCTACTGTTGAACCCACTAGAATGAGAGCTTCAAAATGGCGGTCAGGCACTAGAGCAAAGTAGAGTGGGACTAAGGCAGCCGCGATATCATAAGCTTCTTTCAATCCGATCATTGCCATAGAGATTACCTGAGAGATTAGTCGGTGTCGGAGAATCGAAACTGATCGTGCCCGTGAGTATGGATCAGAAAAGGCAGCCATGGGAGTTGGGGTTGGGAGCATGATCAAAGATAGCATCTTTTTATGTTTGCTGCTGCTGCAAAGTGTGTGTGAGGTGGGTGAACAACCAAAAGATTGTGAATTTCTTCATGCCATTTCACCTCCTTAATTTCCAAATTTCTAATTTAATTAAACACCCCACATTTAAAAAATTGAAGGAAGATTTGGAAGTATACTTTTCCAACGTGGGGAAGCTGGTTTAGAATATCTAAAATAAATCCCAAATTTTTTAATGGCCTCCTACTCATGTTAATTAATTATGGGTTAAAACACACTTTTGGTCCCTCTAGCTAAAGTAACAATTTAGTCCCTGAACTTTAGTTTGTAACGATTTAATCCCTATATTTTCAAATTGGTAACAATTTAGTCCTTGAACTTTAATACGTAACAATTTAATCCATGTAATTTTGAATTTTTTTTTTGTTAAGTTTGTTATATATATAGATAGATAAATTAAGGAGGGACTAAATATGTTTATAACTAGAAATATTAAATTGTTATATAATAAAATTAGACGCTTAATTTTAATGAATTTTTTTACGATAGAGACTAAATTGTTACAAATTTTATACTACAGCAACAAACTTGTTACAAGTTAAAATTCAGACACTAAATTGTTATTTTAGTAAAAGTATAGGAACCAAATGTGCTTTTTAACCATAATTATTTTAAGGTAAACTAATAAAATTTGAGACATCAGGGACGAATCTACGTAGGAGCCAGACAAAAATTTTGTTATATTATATATATTGCATTCAAATTTTACACTGTTTTTCTTTTTAAGTTAGATTTGACTTTCAAATTTTAGTACCGGTGGGGTGGGGATTTGAACTTACTTATTACACATACACATAGTATAGACATGTCTCGCTTTTTATTATTTATTATTTTTGGCTTTTTATTATGACTTAAATCCAATATTTTTTGTTTTCCTTTTCTATTTTATATTTTTGAAGAGGCAAGACTCGTGATTGTCRAAGAAGAATGCAAAGAAGAAACAATAACCGAAGAAGAAAGTGAGGGTCCGTTTGGTTACGTTCCAATTTCTTTACTTTTAATAAAGAAAAACGTATTTGCATGGTTCTAACCTCCAAGAATTCAAGTATGATAAAACAATCTTTTCATCTATGTTCTGAAACAAATTAGAAATGAAAACAAGAAAAAAGAAACTTATTTTGATTGTTTCAAAAAATTCTACACAATTGTGAGAATGTTCACAAAAAATGAGAAACAATAAACCTTATGCTTTAAATATCTTTTCTTTTTGTTAAGTTGTTGGTCGGTCGGTTGATCAGTTTTAGGGGTCTAGGTGAACCGAAACACCTACCATAGACCACTTACAACAACTGACCAACTTGGATTTGGTCGGTTTCGATTCGTCGGTTTGATTTTTCACCTATGTTTGCTCAGCATAGTTTTCAAAATTATGATCTTATTATACCAACAAATCAGAGTGGCGCAGCGGAAGTGTGGTGGGCCCATAACTCACAGGTCCCAAGATTGAAACCTGGCTCTGATAAAATAATATTTTCATCTTTAGACATTTTCTCTAGAAACCTCCAACAAAATTACACTTATAAATAGAAATGAAAAAAAAAAAGTAATGAAAAAAAAAAAAGTTAAGTGAACTAATTAATTAAAATGGAGTCCTAATAATCCAATTCTAACCTTCCCTTTTTCTCATTCTTTAAAAATGTGGGGATGAGACCTCGTAAAAGGGTCAATGTACAAACTCTAATGCTGCATAATAAGCAACCAACACAGGAAGAGAAACTATTGCCCCAAAAATCACCCTGCATTAAAATATATATGTATATTATAATCATKCTAATATTTTTATAAATGAAAATTTTGGCAAAGTGATATTAATGGTCAAGTTCGTCCGCTACCATTTTGAACTGAACAAATCTACTAATACTTTGATTCTAGTTCCAGTCCGTTAAAGGAAGATGATCAATAAAAAATATTGTCAAATACTAATAATTAATAAGATTTATAGCTTATCTACTAATTCTTTTTAAGAGTATTTAGTAATTTTGGATTGGAAAAAAATAACTTGCTTGTTTGATAATATTTTTATTTTCTATTTTCTATTTTTATTAAATTTTTAATACTGATTATTTTCCACTCGATAGAATGTTAGCCTTCAGTTTATGTTGTTAATTAGGGTTTGCTTACTAACAATTCCTTTTTTTTTCTTTTGTTAGATTTTTATTATTGAAACCCATTTTTTTAAAACAAAAACCTATGAGTCAAATGTTCGCTAGAGACAAATTATACCCACTTTTTTTGTGATAAATTAAAATTCCATTTGAAATAATTTCCCCTGTTATATAATAATATCTAAAATATAAATATATTTTTTTTTTACAAGGGAACAAACATATTTAAAAAAAAAAACTTGAAAGAAAAATAAGTAATTATTCTTACGCTGTGCTAAGAACTTCTGCATGTAAGCCATATTCTTTGGCATAAATAAATGATGTAATAGACTGTGGTACTGCTGCCTGCAACAAATATTAAAGCATTGTATATTAAACACACTAAACTTTTGGATTATGCTTAATTCTGTTTATTATTAATACCAATAACAAAAATATGCTCATTCAAAAAAGTTCAAATCTTCTTTTATGAAAACAAAAAGAAAGCTCAAATTTTCTAACTTTAGCGATTAGCTAATGGTAATTAAAGCATTAATAACAATCTCTTAAAGTCGAAGGTCGAATTCTCACCCAAAAATTTGTTTGTGTAATGTTGTATTCCAAAATGATAGCAATAATAATTTAATTCTATTTTGGTTACTAACATCAACACATTTTTGTTGATTAACTTTATCGATAGATGTCTACATCGGCAAGTATTTAAAGTCACATATATAGTTTTTAAAATATTATATATTTCCAATTAGATTTAGGGTTTTGTTGAGTAATCGATTTTACTAAAAAAAGACTATATATGGACCACGAGACTAAAACATAAATCACATAAAAGTTTAGAAAACGAAAATATAATAATTATAAAAGTCGTCCAGAAACCATGATTATAAGATTTAAACCTTAAGTAAATTTAGGTCATTAATTTGGTGTGATCTGATAGGTCGTATCAATATTCACGAGTTCTGTCCAATTCAAAAGTTCTGTTAATTCTTTTTTTTTTTTTTTTACCTGGATGATAGCTACGCGTAGAACATCACCATGCAAGCCCATGGCCATGGAGCCAATAGCCATGGCAGCTGGTCCAGCAATGAACTTTAAAACCATTCCTATTATGGTAAGGCTAGCTCCACAGGCTATCAACTTCTCTTGCAGTGCCATGAAGATTCCTGCATGCACTTAAAAGAAATCCATAAGAAATATGATTCGCCCTATGCTACAAGAAAAAATGTCTTCAACGACGAAATATTTCGTCACTGAAGCGAGATTTTTGTCGCTGAAGGTATTCAGTGACGAAAACATATTATCACCAGCCCAATTGCTAGAACTGGGTCGCTAGAGGACTTCAGCGACGAAAACGTAGAAAATCCGTATACTTTGAATTAAGTTTACGTTTTACGTTTGATCTTTATTTTTTGGTACAATATGTAGGAGTGGAGATTTGAACTCACGTCCTTTTAATCGGAGATAGATGTCTAAAATTAGCGACTTTTGATCTTTGTTGTTAACATGATTAGTTAACGAAAAAGATAGAGACGTATGAAACTTAGATAAGGTAGGTGTATATTTAGAATTGGCCGTTGAATGGACCACATGGTACTCTATTCTTAAATTTTAGATAGCGTATTTGTATTTGTGTTCTTTCTCACAATCAATCAATATTATTCTTATATATCTCCTAATTTTTAATTAGTTTCATATCCAAACTTTAATTTTTGAGTGTCACGTCGATGATTTTGTTAGGTGGATGTTAATAATAGACATTAAAGGTAAGAATAATTATTCAAATAAACTAGATGTGTAATGCTTAAAGTACTAATTAAGAGAATGAAATATGGAACTTATATATTAAACTTAATTTTACTATTTTGGTTTAAATAAACTTAACAAAAACCGTCAAAACGAGCCTAGCTCGTAACTAGCATATACCTTCAATCTCCTCAACATGTTTTACTAAAAAAAAATAATAATAATAACAAAAACCATTTATATTATTTTTTTTACATTGATTTGTTTAAGCTTGTGACATATTTATGTTGAATAGATTCCCACTCAAATCTTCTATTAGACCCACTAATCCACAGATTGTTTTTCTATTTTTTTTTTCTTTTTCGAGACAAAAAAAAAATGAGATTGTTAAAGACTCTTATTGGGGGATTATTTGGACAATTAGAAATTTAACTAATACTGTATGGTTTAAAAACTTTATGAAGAATTAATATGACAAGTCAAAATCAAATTTTAGATTGTTTGATTATTAAAAATTCTCTCTTTTAAGGGACACTAATTTATTTGTAATCAATTTGAGACTTCAAAAGATAAATAGTATTAAATATTAATTAATATTTTGCTGTTTTAGAAGAAAATTTTTCTCATATATTTATAACGATTAAAAACTTTGCAAAACAAAAATTAAAAGAAGAATTGTGTAATCTTACCCATATTAAACATGGCAGTGCCAATCCCAGCTTTTGACATGATTAAAATAGATCCTTCCATAATGCTAGGCATTTCAATATGCCACCTATACATAATTTCAAAACATATTTGTATAATAACAAACATTATAAATTGTAAACTAAATATAAAAAAAAACATTATAATCATGGTTTAAATTTTATTTTGGTCTGAACTGATTATATGTTTGTTCTATTTAATTTAATGTCTCTAAACTTTAAAAATACTATATAATTTAGTTCTTAAATTTTACGTAAAATACCATTTTAGTCCTTGGCATTAATTTAATAAATTATTTAACGCAAATTTCAATCATAATATGTGTTTTGTTCATTTACTTTATAAATATAAAATAAACATTAAAATCACATGCGGTAATAATAGATGTCAAGTTTTAAAAGTATATTTGAGATTCCTGTCGAATAGTTTATAATAAAATTCAAAAATTAAAATAAAATAATCTTTAATGTAAAGATTAAGAATTAAAATATAATATTTAAAAGTCGAAAACTCGATGAAATGTTTGGAAGTTTAGAGACTGGAATATAGGATAAAAATGAAATTCTTTTTTTTTTTTTTTTTGAAAATTTTGAAATATGAAAGTACCTTTTTGCAACAAATGCCCAAGCAAAACCAATGATACAAGCATAAGAGTTGGGATTTGCAGCCAATTTGAGCCAAACTTTCTTCATCAAAGGCTTGAAAGAAGCCCTATGGCTGTTGCTTGTTTCTCTTCCCTCAACCTCCATGGCCTCTCCCTCCAAATTCTTCCTTCCCTCTTCCACCATTTGTAGAGCTTTCCCATGGTCCCCGGGGCCGAAGCTCGAAGAAGCTTCCCCCGCAACCAAATCCAACCTCGTTCGTCGAAGTTCCAGCACAAATAACAGTATTGTCAGCCAAACAATGGCCTGAACCACTGAACCCTGCATCAAAGATTTTAAAAAACCATTGACATGTCAACATTTTTACATATATATAAATTCGACATTTATATGAAAAGTTAATCAATATTTCTATACTACCATAAAAATATCAACAAAACTCAGAAATCGTTAACATAATATCACTAATGTGAACAGCACCTTGAAGACAAATTTACTATTTTTTTATCCAATAATAAAACAAACAAGCACTTGTAAAAAGATCTTAGAGGTGAAAAAAATTTTAATTTATTAAAAAAATATATTTAGGTGCTATATAGATTGACCATTCTCTTATTTGTCAAAAATACCAATAGTCAACACAGGTACTCACCAATTAGCAATCTAAGTATTTCCTAAAAAAAAAGTGTGAAATGATTAAAACATTTTTACAAATATCATTTACGAAACTTCAACATTTTCATCTGCATCAATATTTAAAATATTGCCTGCACGACGAGGTCCACGGCCATCTGACCATACATGATCTTGGCGAGCGGGACGCCAACAACGAGCGAGTTCGTGAGAGTGGAGAGGGAGAAGCTAGTGATGGACCAACAATAGCTCCCTTTGGGGGTGCATCTGGCCCAGAAGGCCAAAACGACGACGATGAGGAGCTTCGAGATGGCGTCGGCGGCAATGAAAGGGAAGTTCAGGTGAAAAGGGTCGATGTGGGAAGTGAAGTCGAAGGTGAAGAGAGGGAGAGTGAAGTAACAGACGAGTTTGTTAATGGCGTCGCACTGTTCAGTGCTGAAGATTTTCCACCACCTCACAGAGCCATAGCCAAGCGCCAAGGCGAAGTACAATGGCGCCATGGCGGCCACCACCTTATAAGCATCTTCCCACCCGATCATGGCGAAATAGGAATTAGCTGTGTTCTTCTGTTAGAAAATTAAAGGAATTATTGGGGTATTTATATATATATGTTCATGCATGAAGATGACGAAGTATAATCTTCTTCTTATTATTATTATTCTTCTTTCTATTTTTGCTTTTTTTTGCTTGGCTTGATTGGTTTGGATTCTTGAAAGGTTGGTTAAGACTAGAGGCAACTTTCCCAAGTAATTTACACATCATGTTTTAATTTTATTCTTTTATTCTCTTATGTGTTTCTAAAATTTTTGTGTTTTTGTTTTATGCCTTATAGCTAGATTCATATATTACAAACCATACCGTTTGATAATTTTGGAGCCGTTTGGTAACGTTTCCGTCTCTTATTTCTCGTTTCTAATATTATTAACAGATCTAAACATTTTGCAAATTATTTATATTTCTTGTTCTAGAAACAACCTCAAAACTATATAGAAAATTTGGAAACAACAAAAATAAGTTTCTTTGTCTTTTGTTTCCGTTTTCAGTTCCAACATAAATAAAGATTTTGTTTTATCATTCATGAATATGTGTTATAGGGGACAATGCAATTCTATTTTTCTTTATTAAGAAAGAGGTAACAGAAAAAAGAAACACGAAAACGTTACTAAATAGATCCTTTGTTTTTTGTTTCTTGTTGCTCATTTTCAGATTTTTGAGAAATATTAAGTATTGTTTGGCAACTATAGTCGTTGTTCCTCGTTTCTCGTTTTTTTACAAAATTGGGTAGTTTTTTTAGAAACAACAAAATCAAAATTAATATATATATTTCTTCTTCTTCCTTTTAATAACTGTAAGTGTCCGGACCAGCTTGCGCTCAGCTGCATGATCTTACAACATTTGATACTCGAAAACACATAGGAATTAATTCATAAGGTAGGTGGTTATCATGGAGTTTGAATCTCTTCCTTCTCATCTATCATAGTCCCTTTCGACCGATGAGCCACCGATGATGATTAAAATGCATAATATACCAGTTACATAAAATTAAAGACATTTTTGTAGGAGCTAGTTGAGGGTTTGATTTAATTATTTTATAGGGATGGGCTATTGGTGATGAGTGAATGTAGGGGCAATTGAGAAATAGTGGAATCCATGAGATGTAAATTTATTTGGTTGTGTGGTGTGTGAGTGAGTGATCACCAATTAATGGGACGTGGCTTAATAATTATTTGGATGGTCAATAATCTTTTGGGAATAAATAATCGTGAGGTGTACAATATCTCTTGCAAATTGCCTTTCTTATTTTCTATAAATTATTTACTCTTTTTAAATATTCTTCAAATAATAGTGATGTGTAATAATCTATTTTTACTTTCTCTAGGCAACATTAATATGGCTGATTTAAAATTAAAAAAAAAATGCATTTTCTTGTCTTAGAAAATTTTTACGATTATTCTTCAATTTTTGTTAGGCGCAGATTGAAATAAACTCTTTTTTTAGTTCAATGTGGAGAAAAATGTTAACTATTGTTTTATTCATTAAATCTATGTTATTGGATTGAAAATTTTAAAAAATTAATAACTAAACGCTACTTTAGCTCCTACTTAATACTTTTTTTTTGGTCAATATCATGTTTTTTTTATTATTATCCAGGATTCAGGTAGCCCTTTGGCCTTTATGTCCCCATATCTAGGGTATGTGCACTGTCCCCATACTTGTACATACGTAAGGAGTCATTGATTGATGGAGTTGCATTTCATGTGACTTAAATCCAAGACCTCGAAGATATTCCTTGAGGCCCCAATATCATATTATATCTTGATTATTATTATTATATATTTTTTAATTCAATAGTTGAAGATTTGAAAGTCTCCAACTTTTTTGGTCGATGATATATGCCTTAGTCAGTTCACCCCTTTTGGTCGATGATATATGCCTTAGTCAGTTCGCTCTTGATTTTCTTTCTTCCCATTTTGACTCCACGCCTAGACATCTCATCAAATTTTGCTCACGTGGCCCCTTTTGGAATGCAAGTTCTTCAATATATATATATGTATATTGATACATATTGTACGTGTTTTAATGCAAGTCTTACATAAATTTTTGAAGACTTGTTATCAAACCTTATATGCGTGGGTTTCAACATTAGTTTCAGTCGTGATATTCGTCTCATAAGATTTTTACCAAACATAGTACATGGGAATTCAATGAATTGATTAAAATTGATTTTTCTCTAAAGTTAAAATAAATAAAGAAATAAATACTAGCATTGATGCTGATCTTCGACGTGGTGTACCACGTACGTCTTTGTCTACTAGCTCAGAGTTCACTTGTATGCTGAAATCTAACACCGATGTGGTGTTCTACCGAATGCATGCACTCTGATATCTAAGTTAGAACTAAAGATGGTAGCAAATGGATATATTGGAGCAAGTAGAGTAAATGTAGGAATCTCAGTCAGAGTCTGCTTGAGAATGTGTGCAGAATTCGCATAGAGGATTACGTAAGAATTCTTGTGTACTTGAATTAGGGTTTCGGTGGAGTTTTTATGTGGAGAGAGAGTGTGACAGAGAGAAGATGTGGGGACCATCGATTCTCTTGAGTGTATTGCAATTCGGATGGAAGGTGTCAGTGTCTTCTTTGCTAGCTGTCTCCCGTAAAAATCGCCCTGGTGCACTCGGCCTTTTAATCCGATGCACTCAGGTTGGGCTCAATGACTTGACTTTCTTTGCCTTGCACTATCCAGATGTTGTCCACACAGCCCATTGAAGTTTAGACACATGTTGCCTTAGATTTGCTCGTTAGGAGGTACAAAATATTTATAAGTTCATTATACATATTTCGTCCATTATATGTTCGTTCCAACATTCAGTTTCACATCTTCATTTTTTGCAAGTTTTAATTTCATACATCGTATATCAAATTGTTTTTATCAATTAGATCTTTATTGATAATCGAACATTAAAATTTATAAACAATGTTATAATGTGACATTTTAAGATATCTTCTCTTAATTGAGTTGAAAATATTTGTCAAAACGAGTATAGCTGATCGGCTGTAATTTATATAGGAAAAAACTTCCCTTATGAAGATTCAGGAGAAAGCTCCTCTTGAATTAATTAAAAAAAAACGCTTATTTATATGCTACTGAACCACAAAAGAATTTAGGAGGAGCCTCCGCTGAATCTTCAGGATGGAAGTTTTTTCCATTTATATAAATCTCCAATCATGAGTTCGATTCCCCACTCCCACCTGTTGTACTAAAAAAATTGAAAGATTTAGCAGTGGAACAAAGAAGATATAAAAAAAATGGTGGACATTACAGAAGATAGAAAAAAGAGGGAGTGAGACGTTTTTTTCTCAAAATCAATCGATAGAGGGAGTAGTATCATGTGTATTATAAACTTTTGTTAGATTTCTGATATAACTTTAATACGAGATATTTAAGTTTAGTTCCATTACGAATCTAAAGATCTTTACCGTCATTAAATGTTAAATTTTTTTTTTATGAGATGATGATGCAACATCTGTATATTAACTAAGTTGAAAATACTTTCCTTGAAAAAAAATTGAATATACTCTTTATTTTAATTTAATGAGATTGAACAATTTCAACTATAAAATCTAAAATCCATTAACTTCACACAATCTAACTCCAAATTATTATAACTTTCCTCACAAAAAATAAATAAATATCTCGTAATTAATAACTAACCTAACCATAATGGGTCATGGCGTGGCAACTGACCACACCATTAAGAGAATATTTATTAGTTCAAAATTTCTACATCATCATTTTTTTAATACTTTATGTTCTTCGAGCTCAGGAAGATATATGTTTTTAAAATTAATATTTATGGGTTCAATCTCAAAATCAATTGACAGGAAGAAAAGTATCCCATATTTACTATAAACCTTTTGTTAGGTCTATTTTCTTTTCCATGTGAAATCCTTAACATATTGGTCGAGATCGTGGTTCTTTTGACTCATCGATCTTGACCCGATCTCATTTTTAGAACAGATGCTCTTTTTGAGCATTTTGAACTTTGGTACCATGTTAAAAATGAATAAGCCACTACTGAACCCAACAGATATCTAACGACAAATGAGTTGGGTTAATTTAATTCATATATTAGATATCTAACGAACACTCCCTCTCACTTGTGAGCTTGGGAAATTGCAACAAAATCCAACAAATGGAAATCATAATAAATGGGGAGGAAATAACGATGCAGAGTTTTTTTTCTTTTCAACATGAGATCCTTTAACGTGAATGAATTAACTATGTCCAAGTTAACCATTCTATAGAATAGAGTTTTTTTTTTTTTTTTTTGTGGCTGAAATTTGGAGAGAGGAAGAAGATATCAAACTGAGGAACAATCTTATGGAACAAGAGATAACCAAAAAAAAATGTTAGAGAGAATAAATTCTTATGAGCAGCATCACAGATGGGTTTAAATCTGTCTTTTTCTTTTTGTTTTGTTATGTTAATTTCCAATATCAATATATATGCCACCCAGCTTTATTACAATGTTTTTATTCATACATCAATGTGCTTAAAAATCACATCATATTCCTTACTCAATGATTTGTGATGGGATTTGAAATATATGCTGTCTATAATTCAATTGGCAACTACTTCTGGCTTATTTTTCATGGTCGAGCTACTTGTTTAATGTTCTTCTCATTTTTGTCCCTTTATGTGAATGTTGATAGTTCTATATCAATTATTGATATTAAGTCCAAAAATAATGTGTAAAGCATCTCATTTGATAATCATTGGAGGAACAAAATATATATATATTTTATACACGTGTGTAAATTTAATGTTAACTTTTCAGATTTTTTTAAGGGGGGTTCAGTGGTCAAATGTTGTAGAGTCATACGGCTGTCTCGTGAAATTAGTCGAAGTGCGCGTAAGCTGGTCCGAGCATTCACAGATAAAAATAAATAAATAAATAAAAATTAAGTAGGTTTAGTGGTGAAATTATTTTTTTACAAGAACAAATTAGAAATTTACTCGAACAAACTTGTGAGTAACGTAACGCAATAG